GTATCTCACATGGAGGCACCCAATCAAACTCGAATTCTCGATGAGGAATATCTTGCATGATGCTCAAACTGCTACTGCCATACCATGCATAATGAGCCTCCTGATAATGTTTCATCATTTTGTGTGCATACTCTTGTGTTATCTCATGGTGTTTATCCCTGGTGGGGAAGCACCGATTCTAACCCTGAAGTCAGCATGCACGCGCGGATGTCAGTACAGTGACAATTTATGCACAAACAAAACATAGGCTTTTCCCCTTCACCCAATAATTGCTTACTTAATTGTATCCATTTTATTAACGTGTTTGATGACTTTGTAAGTTCAGTACTGCCTGCAATTCCCGTTGGAATTTTTAACTGTTATCCACATAATTAAAAGAACGCAATCCGGCAGCACTCTCATAGAAAAATGCATTGCTTCTTCACTCTTACGATCAACTCTTAACTGTCACATTCGTCAGTAAAGAGCTCATTTTCTTTGGCACCCAATGTTTATCAGCACCTACAAAAACTGTAAATTACTGAACCAACACTTCACGAGTCCACGAACACTTTTAAGTGTCCAACTAAATCTCTAATTGTTCACACTAATATGATATCGCACCTGATATCTAATATGCAAATTACAAGCATTCACGTGTATATGGACTCAGTTTTCTTCAGATCTGCACACAAAATTGATTCTAACATACCTGTTTGTCCATCCTGGAGCCGTAGGATCCATATTTTCTACCAACTGTGGAAGCTTGTGGCGAGTATTCCCTCTCGCATGGCGCCGGTGCCCCTGCCGCACAAATCTGCCCGTCGAAGCTGTCTGAGTGGGGATGATTCTGCTCCATCCCCGCCGGCGGCGTGTTCACCGAGTAAGGTAGGGGGCTCCATCGGGAGTTCGGGACGTCACTGTCAGTTACCTTGGTGCATCTACAAAGCAAGCGGTCCAAATTACAGATCGACACCATGAAATCCAAAAACGAACATACATACTACGGGAGATTAACGGCTGCCTTACCTTCTAATTGGCTGCATCAAGAACCCCATGTCCCACCGACAGATCTTGGCTTCATAGAATCGTTTCTGCCCAAGCTCAGCGCCCTTTCTATTCGAAAATTCCAGCAGCCAGAGGTAGGAGACGACAGTACCCCCGCAATCAGCTCGTCGCCGGTAGAAGTAACGAAAAGCAAGGTTCCTGATCCACGGATCGGGAAGAGGTCAGACGTCGTGAGCCACGGCTCGCCTGCTTGCCGTCGACGACCGCATCTCCTCCGTCTTCTTCGTGGCCCACGGCCCAGCCGTATTTCCCTGTTTACTTACTTTTCGCCGCTCGCGTATTAAATGGCCCAGCTAATAAATGCATCAAGTCCAGCGACGCAACTCAACAGCCCAGATAACGAGCACACATGTGCTCGCGATCAGAAGCACCGCGTCCGATGAACAAGGCAATTCTAGCACCAATTCAAGTAACATCTCACAACAATTCAGTCAGTTGACGTGGCGCCGTACTTTTGCTTAGAGATAAAGATCATGAAGGGCCAGAGAATGCGAATGATCCCCCTATTTGTGAAAATGAGTCAATAATATCCTATTTTGATTCAAATTGAACACAGACCCAAACTACAGGCAAAAGACAGATTGTGTGGAAAATGAAAGCAAACTCATGGTTTTCACAAAACCGCCACACAGCAATATACAACAGAGCAGAAGGACACAGCAGCTTTGCTTCAGGTGAAAAGACTCCAGCGCACCGGCCATATAGAATTCTGCACATTCCTTTCTAGCAATATACAGGAGAGCTGAGAGCGAGGCAGTGAAATCAAAAGATATCTACTGTGTTGTTTCTGGTTTCAAGCATATAGTACATCCGATGGTCCTTTTGGGTTCCGAGCGGTGCAAATTGGCTCTCCTCATCTGTTCATCATCAGCGCCATTCTTCACCAGCAACTCTCATTCATCAAATGGATTTCTTGGTGGAAACTGTCCTTGCTGTGCCGAGTTCCTGTTACAGGGTATCATGTAAAACATAAGGTCTGCTACAAACTATAAGAACAGGTTTCAGGGGAGCTTACAGCATATGGGAGTCTTGTACTTGCCCCGGGATGTATGACAACCCTCCTGAATTCAACAAATAATCAAATAGTGTACATTAACAACGAGAGTTCGTGATTAGGTTTTCTTTCCCCTCACGCAAGGCTAGGGTTTCTCTCCTCTCGGGCGACGCTGTCGCCCCTGAGTATCCCACCCTGATCGATCTACCTCCCCGTGAGCGGCTCTCTCGATCGGCCAAACCTCGCTCCTCCCTGCCCCTTGGTAGCGATGGAGCCTCCCGCGGACGCCCTGTCAGGCACCAGCGCTGGCGGCGGCTCTCACGGAACGCCGGACCTTGGAGATTTCATGGAACAACTCAACCTGGAAGATGAAGACTTTGATGATCTGGTGATAGATGAGGCTGATCCGGAGATCAATGAGAGCGTGAGATGGCTCGCGCTGGCTAGGGTTCATACCGAGAAAACCTTCAGCCAAGCGGCCTTCTACAAGGATATGCGGGCGGCTTGGAACCCCGCGCAGCCGGTAAGGTTTCGCCCGGTTGGGCCGAAGCTTTCTGTTGTACAAGCATCGTTCTTGGGAGACTGGGAACGTATGCTGCATCAAGGGCCTTGGCTATTCAGGAATTTACTCGTGTTGATGGTTCCACAAAGGCAGAGGAAGTTCCCATGGTGTTTATGCCAATTTGGCTACAGATTCACAAGATCCCGGAAGGTTTCTGCAGGAAGAACATTGTGGAAAATTTGCTGAAAAACTCTGGCGAGATCCTGGAGATGAGACTGAACGGGAATACCCGTGGTGACTACATTAGGGTTAGGGTTCGGCATGACGTGCGCCGACCTCTCACCAAGTTTGTCAGTATTGTCAAGGGGAAAGAACGCCAAGTCTACTTGGTGCGTTACGAGAAACTCGCACGCTTCTGCAGTGTGTGTAGGCTCATTGGTCATGATTGCAAAGAGTGCGGATCAGGGGTGCATGAGGAGAAGGACAAGAAGTATGGGTCTTGGCTCTATGCTGATGGACTAAATAAACCGCCGTCCAACGATAGTTATGGCCGGGGAAGGAGTCAGAAGCAACATACGCCTCAATCTCACCAGCAGAGGTCGCCGGGAAAGACAGTGGTCGACCCGGACATGCTAGATACGGCTACAAGCCCTGCCAAGGAAGGACACATATCCAAGCAAGGTGATCCAGCAGCTCGCAAAAGACTCTCCATGGAGGATGTTGGACCGGATGCCAATGCGTTGGTAGGGCCGAGAGGTGTGCTAGCACTTACCCAGGGGAATGGTGAGGATGGTGCACATGCCTCGCCTACCAGCAGTGCTAGCAGTAAGAGGGCTCGTGTTGAATCAAGCGGTATGTTAGGTGATA